CACTGCCCTTCTCCGCCAAATGCACTGAGACACCAAGGACAGTCCTGCGGAGGCGGCTGTCTGCAGAGCAAGGCCGAGAGGAGCTGCCTGCTCCGGGCAGGAGGGGAGCGGCGCTGTGGAGCTGCCTGATCCTGGGGCTGAAGCCGGGAGGAGACACCTGCAGAGCACGGATTGGTAGCACAGCACATAGCCCCATTGCTCACCCTGGGCAGAAGCATGTGTGTCAGTGCTAAGAAGAGCCCAAAGATGCAATAGGCGAAGTTGCACAAGGCTTTAGTGTTTCCTGTTGCTGCAGCCACAGAAATTGCTGCATCCCCTTTTTCTTTCAGCATAACTCCCCCACCCTTTTTTCTTTTCTTTTCTTTTTTCTTTTCTTTTCTTTCCTTTTTTTATAAACCCCACTGCTTCCCAGTCTGCATGGAGGGGAAAGGGAGCCAGCAGGCAGAGGACTTGGGGCTCTGTCTCAGACTTCTGCTCAGATGCCATCCTCAGAGATGGGATCTTCAAACCCGGGGATGTGGCAGGGTCTGTGGGAATGGGACAGTATTCTCAGACCTTAGGAAGTCTCATGTTCCATCCCTGTTGTCTTTGGGGTCTAAGCCAAGAGGATAAAATCAACCAACATGGAGATAAGTGACTGGTCCCTCCAAGTGCCACATGGAGTGGGGAAGATTTAGGTTCCCACACCCTGCCAGCACCAGGCAGCTGAAAACAGGGCTGGGCTCAGCCGTGCCATTGCTGGAGCCTCTGCTGCAGGAGAAGAGCTGGCCCTGAGCCCTTCCCTTGCACCATCCTGCTCCTCTTCTCCCGGCACAACTGTGGCTGTCTCAGCAGAACAAGGAGGATGAGCCTCGCTCAGCACTGGCTGTGCAAAGAGGAGGTGCCAGCCCCAGGGATGCTCAGCCTCATCACAGAGCAAACCTCCCAGGGCAAGCCTGTGCAGAAGGGGGTCTGAGCAGTGCCAGAACTGGAAAGCAGGTGAGATCTCAGAGCATTGGGCAACACTGACATTGGGAAGGGCTTTGCACTTTGTGACTGGTATCAGGAAAAGGTTTCTTTTGGCAAGTGTCTCTGGTGGCTCCTCCAAAGTCACCCGCCTCTCCACATCACTTGCAGAGGAAAGGCATTTCAGCATCTCACTGGGTCACCAAAGGAACAGAGCTGAGACCAGAGCTGGTGGGGCATCTGCACACGCTGCTGTGCCGGGAGCACAGTACGCTGCTTAGCCACATAGCACAGGCCTGTCTCTGTGGGTGTGCTGGCACTGGTGTTGCCGGGCTGCACTGATCACCCACGTGCATGGGAACCCACTGCTTTTTAGTGAGTGTGGACATGGGGAAGGCAGCTCTGCCCCATCCCGGCATGCTGGCTCCTGGTTCAAGTGCAGTCTGTGAGTTGCTGCTGCCAGCACTCTCTGAGCAGCAGGGGATTGCAGGGCAAATGCCAGATTTCAGCAAAATCCTTGAGATTATTCTTTGCTCTTACTGGCTCGTGTTGGGACTGTTCCACATAGCAGGGTCTGGCTGGCCTGCAGGTGGATGGCAGATGCGTGGCAGCACTGATGCTGGGCACTCAGCAAAGTCGGGTTTCCCCTGCCTGGGCAGCGTTGCTGCGAGGAACTTATAGCCATGGGGCTCTCCTGCACAGAGGGTATGGAAACAGGACATGCCCTGATGTCCTTTCCATAGTGAGCACTGGGGTTTTCCCCAGGGGCTCTTGTCTGACTTTCTGCTGTCCCTCACAAAATTTTTCACTGCTCCTGGATCTTCCTTCACTGCCAGCCATGTGCCATACTCTGCAATGGACTCATGCCAGCTTTGGGGGCTGCAGCCTCCTGGGCGTGACGCTGCAGACCGCAGCCGCAGGGGCACGGTCGAGTGGGGAATGGTCCCCATGTCTGCTCTGTCACCATGTGAATGGATGGGCAGGGAGCCAGGGGGATGGTGGAGCTGTGGCCTATCACCCTCCTCTGTCTCACTGTCCATGGGGCTGATGGGACTGGTGCCCCATTTCTGTCCTGCTCTTGGGCTGTGGCTAGTTAAGCCTTGCCCAGCGCAGGGTGTGCACTGCTGGGCTGAAGGTTTTCCCCTGGATGGATACAAAGTCGACAGGAGGTGCCAATGGTGCAGCTTTGCACAGCTTCTGCCTCCTGTCCGCTCCCTGGCGGCGGGTCTCTCGTGGTGGGTCCTGCCTCCTGCACACCGGAGGCACTGCCACCCCCAGTGCTGTGTGCACGCGGAGCCTCCTGGGACACTCCTATTCCATCGCAGCCAGCGCCACCGCCACTCCCAGAAGGACCAGGATGAGATGGACTAGCGATGGCCCATGTGTGGAGCACAGCAGGTTACCAGCAGGCACCTGTGACTGTCACTGCCCATGTCTCCCACACACAGGGATGATGCAACAGAAGCCTTCACTGGCCATTCTCTACTGCTTGCAGAGAAACCCCGTGGCACAGGCTGCCCGAGCTCAGCGTGGTCGGAGGGAGACTGCCGGGGCAGGCAGCTCCACAGGCGGCTGCTCGGATCAGCCTGTTAGGGATGGGGCAGTTGGCAGCGCCCCCAGGATCTTCAGGACAGTTCAGTACAGCCTGGGCCTCCTGCGCTGGTGAGTGCATGGGTTGCAGAGTCCCGGCTGAGCAGGTACGCAGCCACTGCAGGGCAGAGGGCCAGGGCAAGCTCTGGAGATGGAGGATGGATGTGTCCCTAAGCTGGACACAGGCGCTGGGGAGTGGGGGTCATGGGGCAGGCACCCCTTGTCCCCAGGGTCAGGGCAGTGAGAGGCCTGAGGTGCCCTGGAGAAGAGCACAGGCACTCCCAGCAGAGCTGGCAAGTGAATGTGTTGGTACGAAAGGGCCATGATGAGTGAGGGATTTGGGCACCCTGTGGTGACACAGAAGGCCCTGCCCCAGGCAAAGGGACCCCGGGTGGTACCCAAGGGCAAATGGTGCCTGAGGACCGAGCTGAGCTGAGGTGCCAGAATGGGGCCATCCATTGCCCCTTCCCTCCCAGTCAGGACAGTCCCAGAGACACTGGAAGGCCCAGAGAAATGCAAAGGGACCGAGCACATTTGCACTGAGCCCCACAGGCTGGCATGGCTGGGCTGAGCACTCAGGATTTATTGCCCCTCCGCTGCCCGGGTGGCCGCCAGTCCTGCAGGAGCAGGACGAGAGGGGTTGTCTCTGCCCTGGCACGACAGAGGGATGGGGTGCAGCTGCCCTACTCTGGGGGGACCTTAGTGGAGCAAGGCTGGACCACTCTAGCTCACTGGCTAGCAGGTATCTCTCTGGGACGGTCTCTTCAGGGCAAGATAGGCACCAAGCCAGGCTGCGGTGCCTTGGCAATAACACTGGTTGTTTTGTGGTGTGGGGCTGGGGGTGCTGGGCAAGCACTCTGCAGTGAGGATGCACTTCATCAGAGCAGGGGAGCGGGGCCGTGGGTGCTTCTGGCTGCAGGAATCCCACCAGGGAACGCGTCTGGATAATCATAAGGAGTGTGATGGAGGTGAGCAGGCTCCTTCCCCCCACACCTCCTCTCCTCTCCTCTCCTGCCCCCCGCCTTCCCTTGCAATGCACTTTGAATGGATGAGGACGTGGTTCAGGCTATGGCTCCAGCTCCCTGGGAGCATCAGTTGAACCTCAGCACATCTAAAATTGCTTCAGCCCCTTAGCCTGGCTCATTCAGCCCACAGGCACGGTTGTATCAGGTACTGCCTCTCCCTCACACGTGCTGTGAATGCAGGCAGGCAAGCAGGGATATGGCCTCTCGTCTCCACGCATGTCCAGGCCACCTTTGTCACACACACAAGAAGAGCAAATGCATCATCACCCAGCTGGTGCTCGGGTTTGCTGGAGGGGAGACTGGGCTAGTGCAGGGAGGGGATGGGGCTTCTCCCAGAGTTTCACCGCTCTCTCAAATCGGGCAATAAAACAGTGTTTTGTCCTCACTGTGTGTGGACACCATTTGTCCGGTCCCTCTGCCACAGGAGCTCCTGGTGCCACAGGCAGCCTGCGGTTGCCTGGGATCCCTGTGTGCATCCCTGCCATGCTGGACCCTGTGCTTTTCCAGCCTTCTCCTTGTCCACGTGTGCAGAGGAGGTTGTACAGTGGGATGCACGTGTGATACAGGGCGGGGGTGGACCATGCAGAGAGGTGTATATG